CTCGAATCTGAGGTTGAACCTATAAGATTCTAAGAATACTCCTGCGCACTTACGTATGTAGTGTGAATAGGTAGCAAAAGTTTATTGTTTACTAGCACAGGGATTGACTTTTCTCTCCCTACAATCTCAAAATGATCTATAACTATTAAATGATCTACAGTATTAAATTATCCTTGTTGATATTTCAGGAAAATCCTTCCATTTTCTTTGCATTTCTGCTTTCATGTCTGGGTGCTGCACATTTGAGCAACATTGTTGTCATTGGATTTAGTCCATCATTATGAGGGAACATTAACTTGAGCACTTGTTGGCTATAATTGTTGTTCGATGCGTTCCAGCTTTATAATCTAGGATAACTGATACTGACAGTAAAATGCTATATGAAGGCAAGGGACATCCAGAGGGTGTGTGAGCTAATGTGAAAGGGCTAGAAGGCTCCCAAGAAAAAATCAGGCGTCTGCAACTAAAATCCATATTCGTGGCATAACAAAAATTGGCAGTCATCAAAGAATTCATTTTGCAGCCCAGTTAACTCAATGGCATTTCAGAAAATAAGATTTTACTCTAGGATACTTTACCTGCAGACTGCTCTGATGACCCCTGAATCAAACACTTTATTACTCTGTACCACTGATCTCAAAGTCTGAAAAAGTCTTAGGACAATTATAACCACAATACACATCTCTGAGTTCATAATTCAGTTTTATGTCAGATATCATGTTCTTCTGGCAGATTGGATTGCTTTTTTGTGCAGCTTGTTTCATCTGTTACTTATTAAAGGCTTGCTTTAGAAGTATCTATTACCTTGTCCTCCAACTTTATCATCCTGCCCAAAGTACTCATTTATAACACAATGACCCAACAGTGCAAATAGCATAAACTAAGGAATATGTAAAACTCATTGAAGGATATTCGTTAAACTTATCCCAAAAAATTTTGTGTAACAGATAACTCCATGGAATTTATTTTACCACTGAGGTCCCTCAAAATAGAGTTTCCATATTAAATTCTTGTAGTTCAGCACATTTTCGAAGAGCATATGGAGAAATGTGCAAAATGTTCAAATATCAAGAGAGGTGGTGCTGTAAATCATTCCATCACAAGATAATTAGCAGTTTTGACATGCATAATCTGTTGCATAAGGCATCATCCTATTTTTGAATGGGAAACAAAACAAAAAGTTTGTCAAAAAAAAGACTTGCATTTATAAAGCAATTGCACAACTACCATGCATATTAAAACTGTTTTAAAACCGATGAAGGACTGTTGAAGCTTTGTAATTCTGGCGGCCAATTTTGCACACAACAAACTCTCGTAAATGGTAATGGAATGATCATCAGAGAATCTGCATTTGAAATATTCATTACAGAACATTGTTGACCAGGACAGTGGGGATAATCCCCTGAATTTCTTCATAACAGTGCCATGGGAGACATTGACATCCACATAGGCCAGCAGCCATAATTGCAGGACACCCTTCAGCAGGTTTGGGCGGGTGCTGACCACAGATGGAGTGTCTGCACTATGTTCCAGTCTGTCCCTAATACAAAGCTTAGTTAGTCCCAGATCCTTAGTGTTGAACTGTTTAGTTGTGCTTATCTGTTGTACTGTACCAGTAATCTCGATGTAGATATGGTAAAGTAATTCCAACCCTTTATTCACACTGTACACATTGCTATACCCAGGTGAGGAGGGTTAATCAGTTCCTCTCAGTCTGTTACAACAAATATTTTTCATCTGTTTAGCACATAGCTATCGTACTTCATTTAAAACATAATGAACAGGAATCAAACTGCAGGAGACAAATTACAAGGTTTTCTTGAGCAAAAACGATTCAACTTATTACTTACTTGGAAAGTAATAATTAATACAAGATCAAACACAAACACAGGTAATAAGCTGAAAAAGAAGTTGGAGAATGCCTAGTGCAGACAGTAAGGTCTTTGAGTTCTTCAGTTCTGAGAATGACTTGAATTCCAAATATTTACTTGTGGTTTTGGTTCTTCAACAGTGGCAAAGTTTACAGATATTCCTCAGTTCTCAGCAAATTGTTGCTGATTCAAGTTGCTTTTACACTGACTTTTGATGTGAAACAGAGACAACAGCAGAGAGAAAGGGAAAGAGTGTCTTCTAGTTCTTGTTTACATATTCATTTTACCTTGTCTCTGCAATGCTGCCCCAAGCAGCTGTCGATATAGTTCAATTTGTACATTCCCAAGTGTGTTCATTGTGTTTCCAAACTGGCTAACTGGCAGACATCTACCAAGACACAGATATTGAATGAAACATGAATAAAACAGGAGGCAAAGTACGTGATGTTGACTTAATTGTCTTCAGATGAATTGGTAATTTCAATGTGAACAGGTTTTGTATATTTCACGCTGGCTAACTGGGTTTAGCTCAATCTGTGGCCATGTGATCACAGCAGCCATTTTACATGAGTATTTATTTTTTTAAATGCTGCATTAGTCCATCACATCCTCAGAAAATAAAATTAAATGATGGAAGTTGGATATATTAACAATTATCCAACATTAATACAGTCTAGTACAGAGTGTATACACTGCTTCTTTCTCAGTTTCTTATCTCTGATGATTCTGTTAATGTCATGATAAAATCATCAGTTACAAGGCTGACTAACTTATACTAATCCATTCCTTCTCCAACAGGAATCACCCAAATCCTCAAAGTTGGAAGAAAAAGGGCAGCAGATATGTGGTAACACCACCACCCGAAATGTTCCCCTCCCAGTCATCTGACCTGAGACTATGTCTGTGTGCCTTCACCATTGCTGGTTAAATTCCTGGAGCTCTTGCTCTAATATTTTCATGAGTGCACTTACATCACAAGAACTGCAGCAGTTCAAGCAACAAACTCACCACTACTTCCTCAAGAGCAGATAGGATGAGCAATAAGTTCTGACCTTGCCCGTGATGCTCCCATTCTGAGAATGAACTAACATCAAAAGTACTGTAGAAAGGTAATAGCTTAGATTTATTGGAAAGTCATGAAGGGATCTTGAGCCCACGAGGACTTTGAGATAAGAGTGACTCCAACAGATGAAAGAAGACACATAGTTACATGAAACATTCATTATGTACCAAACTGTTTCACCGCTCTTTGATTATTTACATCATTTTGAAATACAGAGTTAAGGCAATCCTAGCAACCATTTTGCATAAAGCAAGATCTCAGAAACAACTAAAAAATTTATTTAGAAGGAACTCGGTAATTCAATAGTTTTCAACAGTTGAACTGTTTTGGAAAGTCTAATTGAGGAAAAATAGTGCTTTCTTTTAAATAGAAACATTGGAACAGGAAGATATATCCTAAGTCTAAATTCTCATCCAAGTACCAATACCTGCAACAGTATGGCATTCAAATGGAACTGGAATGTCAGAATCACATCCTCAATTAAGGCTTAAATCTACAGCTTTCTGACGCAGAGGCAAAAGAACAGCCAACTCAAGCAAGCTGATGTTACGTTAGTGAAACAACAAATCTATTTCCATAATATAGACAGTGCATGATGTTACATTCAGCTCTGGAGGTTTGCCTCGCTTTTCTGCTTGGCTATTTGGCACAAAGTATGGAAATGAAAAATTCCTGATTAAGTTATTGGGAGTGAAAAGGGTTTACGTCTGCAGCACAACAGCTTCACAGAAAATTCGACAGGCTTTTTACTATTATTCTTAACCAAATTGTTCAGACTTGCCATAACATACCTTCAGGGCAGAGATAGTAAGAACTGCAGATGCTGGAGTCAGATATAACACAGTGTGGAGCTGGAGGAACACAGCAGGTCAGGCAGCATCAGAGGAGCAGGAAAGTCGATGTTTCGGGTCAGGACCTCTTCAGGGCAGGCGGAATTATGAAGCAGGGTTCTTCTAACCAAAAGATAGAGACACAATCACCACATCTCACACAATAGCCCCAGTAGGCCTACTTTACCAGGATCACTTTTCGCTTTCAGAGAAAACTGATCCGCTCTGAAAATGTGTTACTTTGCTGGAATAGACCAATGGCAATGTTTCTTAGCAGTTGGGAAAAGATATATTGCTCTGTTGTTAATTAACACGACTGGATTTACCCATTATACAATGATGTATCAAACATTCCAGCCATTCCTAATTTTCCAAAGAAAGCAGAGCCTTTTTCATGGCATAAATGTTTGTTCTTTCCTTGAAAAAAAAGAGGAATCAATCTTTAAAACCATTTCTAAGCACTCATTGATCTTTGGAGTTGCAACAAGCTTCAAATCGAGTTTGCACCTTTTGTCAGTGTCCGCATCGTCATTTTGAAGTTGGCAATACAGTGAGGTGTGTGGGAATGGAGCAGGGTGCAATAGGCTGGAGACACTGTGTAGTCATATGCTGAAAGCAATGTTTACATACTGGGATGTTTGTTTTAGTCACTGGCTTTCTTCTGAAGACAGATACACATAGATAATAGAAAATCTATTTTTAATGCTACTGTGTGCCAAATTATTTAAGAAATAATGATACAACATGGCTTCATTCCGGAGACATTGTCATGTGGAAGGTGGAAGAATACAGTTTATTGTTAATGTTCATGCCTTTTTAGTGAAGCCAGAAAATAGATTTCTCTAGAAACATTGACACTAAATTATAAAGCCTTATCATTTTCATACTGTGTATTGTTCCAAAGATCTTTGCACTCTTAAATTGGTTGTCTCCAGATGTAGAGGGAACTGAATCTTGGCAGAACCCAATGTACAAAATCCAGAAAAAAAAATTACTGCCAATTATCAAAATGTCAAAACAGCTGAAGTACAAGTCTTTGTTTTGTTCCCAGTTAGAAAATGTTAAACTATGTCTATAGATAACTTCTGTTGATAAGCATTTATTAAGAATTGTCTAGAAACTGAGGCATTCTGCAGTTTATGACTCTCCAGCATTCACTTGGAATGCGTATAAACCATCCACGTTGTAACATAAAGAAGCTCAGACTTCTGAAATGCATCCCAGCCCAGAAAGAAAACTTAGGAGGTTAGCTGCACTTTCCCTTAACAAGTCTCCACAGAATTGCATATCCCTCACCCAGATACGTTGGGGACATAGGCAACTGCCAAAATGATTCTGGGAGAAATGATGCATAAATATTGGAAAGAATGTGGGGAATGTAATGATGAAAGAATGCATTTATTTCACTGAGGTAAACGTTATTAAATATGGGAACTTGTGAATGAGGATTTGGGGGTGTGGATTCAATCTTAAGGAGTTGGCTGAGAGATAAAGGATGTATTGTTGCTCCGATGGAGTCTGAGGGACTAGAAACAAACTGAAACATAACAAAAACATACGGCACTATCAGTCGAGGCTGCATTTAGAAAGAAGCAGACAGATTCTGGAGGTTCAGGGTAAGCATGCATTTTGCTGTGAGTTTAACATTCTACAGTGTTGATCTAAACTCTTCAAACAGTTCTAACATCAAATGTTAGTGGTTTTATGATAGTTACTGAAGTTTTTGATGGAAGAATTAAGAAACTATTAGACATTTCTGGAGCTGTTTCGCTCAGAGTTTCAGTGATTCAGAACAACAACTTTTCTCAAAGAATTCTTGTCAGTGTGAATACATTTTGTTTCAAAACATATTGTTGCACTTAGTTTGATAGATTATAACAAAACTTTCAAGTTATGTTTAAGCATTTGCTCAAATTCAAGTAAGTGTTGTTACTTTTGCTGAAGGTTAACTTTGCCACGATGACTATAAAGAACTTGGCATTCGGTGTTACAAGAAGTATTTTTAAAAACATCACTGTAAGTGGAGACTTGTTCATGTAGCAGGGCTTATTGTAATTAGTTACTAATGAGTGTGCCATTTATTTTGAGTAGGGGCCAAGCTCGGGTATATCACCCTTCACAATAAGGCACATGAGTGTTTTCAGACATTACATTTCCTGTTCAATTTACGTGTTTTCGACTGTTTAAGTCAAGCTTTGGTTCTAGGTTACAGTTTTGTTGAGCAAGCAAAATTTATTGAGAACGCGACAAATTATTCTGTCGTTTCTCCCTTGCCAAATACTTGCAGTAAATTAATTATCAAGCAGATTTCCTGTTTTTCTCTGGAAATTAGTACTCAAGGCAATTGGATCTAATGTCAGTGTTGAACTGTGTGCCTTATTTGCTTTTCCTGAACTCTCTCTTCACTAGAACTTATAAGTTGTGGCTGACAGTTACCGGTTTTAAGATTTTTAAGTATGTTGGCTTCACATGCCAGCTCAGGTAATCAGCCAACCTTCCAATGACATAAAAGAGGATGAAAGTAGGTTGTTATAGAATTCTGCAGTGGTTCAGGCAACTGAAAATGTTTAAGTTAGTAAAACTGAAGGAAACTATAGCACAAAATAGACATATCATTAGAATGCAAATAAGGAAGTGACTAAATCTCTAACATATTCTGTTTCATCTTTGTAAAGTCCCAAGTCATTTAGTCTCATTTTGTGTTGTGAACAACTGCAGTCTCAGCTATAAAAAAAAGCCTGTTGTCTTAAGATCACTGAGAAATCTTATTTCTTTATTAGACAGTTCCTCTGGGAAACTGATTTTGCTGCCTTTGTCAGTTTTAGAGAACTTAGTGAACTCACTGAATTCCTTTATCGTTCTTATCGTTCTTTGAAAAACAGCTTCATTTACCAGTTTGTATTTCATCAGGTTTCTTTTTCACTTCCTCTCCATCTTCTGTTCAACCCACTTCAAGCCTCTAAAATGAGATAATCTCCTGGAAGGCCACAGTCATTTGAACCTTCTGGTGCTTTCTTGCTCACAGAAAAGCAATGGGACCTTTAAACATCCACCCTGGCAAGCCTCCCTAATGCAAGATGCATAAATAAAGCTTGACAGAGGACAACCAATGCATTTTGTGACTGGGATACAAGCTCACTAGAGCATGTGTGACCTGAGTACATGTTTGATAGCGCATCTCTGACCAGAGATATGGATTCAGCGGTGCAGTTGAGCACAAATAATTGATGTTGGCTAATATCTCTCACGGTGGTATCACAGCCGAATCCACACTGATGCTGATTATTTGTCCATGCATTTGTGTTTTTCATCGGGAGTTTTGGGATAACAACCAGGAGCAGCTAATATGATTCAATTCCTAAACTTAACGCGACACGGTGGCACAGTGGTTAGCACTGCTGCCTCACAGCGCCTGGGACCTGGGTTTGATTCCAGCCTCGGGCGACTGTCTGTGTGGAGTTTGCATATTCTCCCCGTGTCTGTGTGGGTTTTCTCCGGGTGCTCCGGTTTCCTCCCACAGTCCAAAGATAGGCAGATTGGCCATGCTAAATTGCCCATAGTGTTCAGGGAGGTAGAGGGTGTATATTAGGTGGGTCATAGGGGGATGGATCTGGGTGGGATGCTCTGAGGTTCGGTGTGGACTTGTTGGGCCGAAGGGCCTGGTTCCACACTGTAGGGATTCTAATTCTTAACAGAACCAACATTAAGTGAGGAACACCAGGATAGTTCTAACCTACAAAAGCTAACTCAGCACAGAATGAGTAATCATTCCTCTTAGTTTATAATGGCTCGGTTCCACAATATACTTTGACATTATCATTTGAACCAACAGTGGAGAGCCATTTCTATATGGTCTGTGGTCTGAAGCTGCTAATTGAACTTCAGCCAAGTAGTTCTCTGCTTTTAGTTCCCCGGCTGGGCTTAATTTACTGCCGTCCAGGAGAGAATTCTTACAGCTACATATGGCACTCCCAGAAATTGGAAATTAGAAAGTTGTTTCATATGTGTTTCATATGTGTCTGAACATTTAATTGAGTGGATTGTTGAGCACTTCTGAAATTTGGTACAGCCCTGGTCTGGATTTCCATTCTGACATCAAAAGCATCTGGAGTTAAATACGTGGATTAATGAGCTGAATTCCAGAGCTGCGGTGAGAGGAACTGCCCCTGGCATTATGATAGCATTTGACCAGTGTGGCAAGTGGGCCCTTGCAAAACTAAAGTCAATGGGGATCAGAGTCAGCACACAGGAAGATTTTTAAAAAAATTTTGCTTATGGAATTGGGTGTGTTATTAGGAAGTGAGTTCCAGGAATTTGACACAATGTCTGTGAAGGGATGATGGTACAGGTCCCAGTCGGGAAGTCATGTGGAAGTCATGATCTGTGTTGAACACCTCTTGGAGGAAACATTAAGGGTGACAAGGATACAGAATGTAATCTGGGTGGCAGATTTCAATGTCCATCACCAAGAGTGGCTCAACAGCACAACTTCAAGATATTAACAGGAGAAGAGAGATTAGATAAAGATAAACCATTTCCACTCATTAGGTAGTCTATAACTAAAAGGTACAGTCTGAAAATTAGGGCAAGACCATTCAGGAGAGATGTTAAGAAGCAATACCATACACAAAGGGTCGTAGGTGTTTGGAACTCTTTTCTACAAATGGCAGTGGATGCTGGATCAGTTGTTCAATTTGAAATCTAAGATAGATAAATTATTGTTAAGTGAAGGTATTAAGGCATGTGGGAAAAAGGCAAGTATGCAGAGTTAGGCCACAGATCAGACATGATCTCACTAAATGGTGAAACAGGCACGAGCAGCTGAATGGCCGACTCCTGTTCCTATATTCCTATGACTGAGCTGGTCAAGTCCTAAAGGACCTTGCTGCTAGACTTGGTCCATGACAAGTGGTGAGAGAAACAACAAGAAAGCAAAAGTATGCTTGACCTTGTCTTTTCAACCTGCCAGCCACAGTGCATCTGTTCATGACATTTCAGTAAGTGTCGTGAGAATATCTTTTATTTTCATGTGCATTCAATATAAAATACAATGAAAAGTGTGTACCGTTGCTCATATGTAAGCTCCATTCACAGGATAAAATAGAAAAACCTTAAAGGGAGTCCAACTTTTCCTTCTCCACTGCTACAGCATACCACCACCAGAGTCCTGATACAGGGTTCCCAGCCCACACCATGGCACCGAGACAGTGTCCCGCTCCAGTCTACACCAGTCCACGCCATGGCACCGAGAGAGTGTCCCGCTCCAGGCTACACTAGCCCACACCATGGCACCGAGACAGTGTCCCGCTCCAGGCTACACCAGCCCACGCCATGGCCCCGGCAGGAGCCTACTCCATGCGGAAGCGAGAGTCCTACTCCAGGCTCCACAGATCAACTGACCGTCTCTGCAGCTACGTTGCTTCTGTAGCCCATCAAAACCGCCTCCTGTCAAAGACCTCGCTTTATCAGGTACATTTGAGGTAAAAAAGAAGAAGGGGAAGAAGGAAAAAGAAGAAAAGAAAAATGCAGATGAGTACCATAAGCCCGGGCACAGGAGCCTGAACCATCATCTTGAGAGTGAAGACAAAGTCTCATCTTCACATTGAGCATATTGTGTGGCATCGCTGGGCAAAACAGGAAAGACTTCAAACAGATGTAGAAACTCAAATCTGGGCAGTTGTCAGAAGTGAGTAAGTTCTTGGAGGGGATTATGAAGGACTGGATTTACATTTGGAAAGGCAAGGACTGATTAGGGCTAGTCCACAGGGCTTTGTGCTTGGAAAATTGTGTCCCACTAACTTGATTGGGTTTTTTGAAGAAGTGAAGAAGAAGATTGATGAAGGCGGAGCAGTGGATGTGATCTATATGGACTTCAGTAAGACCTTGGACAAGGTTCTTCACGATAGACTGATTAGCAAAATTAGATCACATGAAATATAGGGAGAGCTAGCCATTTGGATACAAAATTGGCTCAAAGGTTCTCAGTTCTGAGGAAGAGTCACCGGACCCGAAACATTAATTCTGCTTTTTCCTTCACAGATGCTGCCAGACCTGCTGAACTTTTCCAGCAACTTTGTTTTTGTACCACAAAGATAGATTATGAGACAGAAAGAACATGTATAAATGTCAGCTGATGCCTTCAGTTCTGGTTTTAATTGACTGTTGTGTACCTCCCAGGAGCTAACTGCAAGTGATTAAATGAAACAATACTCTATAAACAGAAAATTAGCATTACCTGTTTGACAGGGTAGTGAAGAAAGCATTTGATATGCTTGCTTTTAATGGTCAGTGCATTGAGTGGAGGAGTTGAGAGATCATGTTGCAGCTGTACAGGACATTGGTTAGGCCACTGCTGGAATATTGCATTCAATTCTAGCCTCCCTGCTATCGGGAAGATGTTGTGAAACTTGAAAGGGTTCAGAGAATATTTACAAGGATGTTGCCAGGTTGAGAGAGTGGGAGCAACAGGGAGAGCCTGAAAAGGCTAGAGCTATTTTCCCTGGAGCATCAGAGGCTGAGTGGGTGACCTTATAGAGGTTTATAAAATATGAAGGGCACAGATATGGTGAATAGCCAATGTCTTTTCACAGGGTAAGGGAGTCCAAAATTAGAGGGC